GTCATGGATAACTGAACATGAAAAAAATATCTGTATGCGATATCCCGTGACGTCTGTGTGTGCATAGGAGAACAATTATGTATATCATTTGTTAGCCTTTCCATAAGAAGATACATAGAATCGGGAAAATACATTGAGAGTTAGGAATTAGTGATACATATTTTCTATAGTTCGGTTTGTAAGGGTTAGTTATGTTTTTACGAGTTGATCACGAATTGATATCAGTTTGAGAACCATTGAAAACCAGCCAGGGAGTACTGGACAGCTACTGTTTCATCCTAGTTTAAGAATCATCGGCAGTACGCACTCGCTCCCAGGGTTCGAACCCAGGACCTTCCGGTTACGAGGCAAGCTGGCTCGTATACCATTCAGCCACTGGGATCCGATTCAACGGCTCATGAATTGTAACTTCTACAAATTCGTGATTTAGCGTGATCAACTCGTAAACATAGCTAACCCTTACAAACCAAATTATAGAAAATTAATCTGATGTTCGCTAGTGATTTGCTACAGGATGGAGTTTCCTAGAGTTCTAGTGAGAAGTCGTGACCAGTGAGGTCCATTCAGATGTCACGTGTGAGGATGGATGTCCAACCTACGACAATGGTTGGGGTCGCGGTAATCACGAATTGGTAGAAGTTACAATTCATGAGTCATTGAAACGAGTCCCAGTGGCTGAATGGTATACGAGCTTGCCTTGCAACTGGAAGGTCGTGAGTTCGAACCGTGGGAGTGGGTGCGTACTGCCGATGATTCTTAAACTAGGATGAAACAGCCGTTCGGTACTTCCTGGTTTTCAATGGTTCTCTAATTTATACATATCTTTTTTATTTATTGCTCAATACTTTTCAAGTATTGGTCTTTTAGGGATTTAGTTTGATTGGTTGGAGAATTTCATCATGGGCTGACATCAGTCAGAGAACCATTGGAGTACTGGACTGCTGAAGACTCCCAAACTTGGACGAAACAGCTATCCAGTACTCTGAGGTTTTCCAGTGATTCTCTAACTGATGTCAGCTCATGATGAAATCCTCCAACCAATAAAGACTTGCCATACATCAGCTGACATCACACCGTCACGCCTGTTCAAGCTTCTAGGATTCATCCATATATATATATAAACTAAAACCTTTCTGTATACCATTGGTTCTATCAGAGTCGATCTTGTGTCCCTTTTTTGTCGAATGTAGAGCAATCATCGATTTGTTTTCTAGCTTCTTCAAATCTGTAGAGATCTCTGTAACCACCTTTACATTTACCTGTCTGGAAGTTTCTCCTACATATATACAGCGTCACAATCCCCATAATTTATCTGGTACATGAGAGTTTGTTGGTTGTCTTCGTCTCCTTTATCTCTAACCTCCACTAGTGATGAGCATAAGGTGTTCGTTGCACGAAAATACACTGTTACATCATGATTGTTAAGATTTAGCTTGATTCCGTCTGATGTTAATTTGAAATAATGAATGAATACAGTACTAAACCAATTCTTAGCAGCAGATTTTGATGAACCCTTGTCTTCACTTTTTAAATATCTTTTAACAAAGGCTTTCAAGTAATTATTTGATTTAGGAGTAGACTGAACTAATTTTAATTCCCTGTTGACCTCGTCTACCTCAGTAACCAGATGTTTGGCTCTGTTAATCAAATTCTTAGCCACAGTTACTTTGGTGGTAAAGGGATCTACCGAATTGTAATCCAGGTATCTGTCTGAATGTGTAGTCTTTCTTAAGATATTGATCTTTAGTTTACCATTACACATTGTGACTGGACGGACCTCACTGGTCACGACTTCTCACTAGAACTCTAGGAAACTCCATCCTGTAACAAGTCACTAGCGAGCATCAGATTAATTTTCTATAGTTTGGTTTGTAAGGGTTAGCTATGTTTACGAGTTGATCACGCTAAATCACGAATTGGTAGAAGTTACAATTCATGAGCCACTGAAACGAGTCTCAGTGGCTGAATGGTATACGAGCTTGCCTTGTAACCGGAAGGTCGTGGGTTCGAACCCTGGGAGCGAGTGCGTACTTCCGATGATTCCCAAACTAGGATGAAACAGTAGCTGTCCAGTACTCCTTGGTTTTCAATGGTTCTCAAACTGATATAAATCCGTGATCAGCTCGTAAAAATAAAAATATCATTGCTGAAAGTTACTTGTGTCTACTATCGACTTTGAGTACAACTAAATTCTGTTGACTAAGTGATAAGTAGATTAATCCTCTTACAAAATGTAGAATATAAATCATACATTGGATACTAACCAGTAGTAACTAATGTTATACATCCAGTCCTTCGTGTATGGTGCAGACTAGATTCTATCAGTTAGATGGAAGAATAGACACTTGTTATAAGTTACTACATTGTGTCCAATACAAAGTGTCCATTACAGTCTTACAGGAGGGCTACTGAGGGTCTAAACAGCTCAGTGGTAACGTCTCTGACTGCAGCACAGTATGGTGAGGGTTCGAATCTCAGAAGGGACATGAGATCCTTCAAGACTGCAGATACTTCTTGCTGACTGGTAGTTACCAAAAAGCACGAAATCTAGATCCAAGGCAACCTGCCAATTGCCTCCAACCATCTAACAAAAATCTAAATCTAACGCTACACAGATCCAATCACTTGTAATTATTATGCTTATTAACAGAAACGTGTATTGACGTTACTTAACTATATGGAAAATGAAAACAAGTGATACAGCAAAGAGACTCTTTTTAGCAAATTCTTATTTTCAAGCCGTACAGCTGTATGTATATGATTTCTAGAAAATAATAATGTGGACTGCAACAAAATCAAAGTTAAACATCAAACTTCTCACTTTGTTGCGTGGTGTTTTATTTCACTGCTAATCTCATTAATTCCAACTCTCCTCTCCTTCCCTAAAGGGAATGCATTCCATGAACTCCTTTATGTATTACACATAGCTTATCTTATTGTCTGATGTTTAACTACAGTCACACTCACAAATATTATTTCAAAAAATAATCATATATATATACGACTGTAGGGTTTGATAATAAAAATTCTTTGAATCACGTAATTTACCGTCCTAATAGCTTAGCTATACAACATGATAACAGTGTGCAACTGTAATTGTAGCGACCAAACACCGACTCGTTTTTGATCTGAACACAAGAAACTGATCTTTACTTTCTACAGTATAGCTACTGACCAAAACTTCCTTGAGACAAACACACACACACAATCATAAAACGCTCGAAAGACAACAAAAGACGGTTATTCATCGTAAGATCGATGTGGTTCCACTCAACAAAACTCTAAATTACCTCAACAATGAATGCCATTAGGCAGATATACAGGCAAGCACTGTAGAACAAAAACTGGTTAACCGAAATTCAACCATGAGAAGTAGGTGAGATTCAAGTAGAATATTCTTAACAAGGTGGGATCGAAACTCTGTCAACAATTATCACATACCTAAAATTCTCGCAACACAGTCCAAGGTCAGGATGACCCTGACTCACTCAAACAAAATCTCATCTGTAAAACAACGCAATACCAATATCATGATTACGTAACCACAAAGCGAAACATTAAAATTACAGATTAAACAGGAACAAAGACAAATAATAAGCATGAAGTCAACAGATGATATGGAAATGTCGACATAACGATATACAGTCTAGGAGAAAAGAGTATGATAATTGCAAAGTTAGTTGAAACATTCAAATGAGCGTCAATATTGTGACTAGATCATTGAGAAGATATTTCGCAAATAATAATTACGTTACACTAATATTTACGTGAATTTTGCAATTGATTTTCCCTATAACACAAGAGTTTATCAGTTTACAATTCCTTGATCCACTGGTGATGTATATCCTCAAATATTAAATGTGTAGTGTTGTAGTTGTCTAACCTTTATCTCCGATCAGATTATCCCCAGTATCCTTGGTTCGATTAAACTGAACTTAGTGTAATAAGATGTAGATTTGAAACATCGATCTGTGTGAATTACTGACTCAATGTTCCACTAACCGAAAATAGAATTTCTACTAATTCGTTAGATCGTAGGCTTCTTAAGTTCCTTTCATTGTAAGAAGTATATGCATTCACTTCAGTAATATTTTGTCTGTATTTCATTGTGTGTGTGTGGGGGGGGGGAATTTGTCCTGTATCTGAAAAGTACCCTTTACTACACAAATTTATTTGACTTATCCTTTATTTAAAGCCAACTGAAGTCTTATTGAACAAAGCCATTAGGGAGGCTAACTGTTGGTAGCATAACTTCTAATCAGATATCTTGTTGGTTATACAATATGTATGCATTGTCATTACTATTCCTTCCTTTCGTTCCTAGTAGAACATACGGCTTCAGTTTTTTTTATTCCTTTGCATCCTGAGTGAAACATAGGGCTTCAGGCCTGAGCTTCGTGGCTTCAGTAGAATTTTGTGTTATTTTTTATGGGGAGTGGTTGCTAGCGTCACGCCAAACCTTCCCCCTTTACGGAGCCTACTACCGGCTAAGAGGGCGCGTTAGAAGGGCATCGGCTGGGAACCGAACTCAGTAGCACATCCTTAACGCACTTTATTCTTAGCTGTCAATTTTAGCTGTCTCCACGATTACCTACACAAGCTTTCATTTCCCCTTCACATGACCTCCTCCATGTTGTCCTCTGACGCGCAACTCATCGCTTCCCATTTGTATTCTAATCGAACACCTTGCTTAAATATCTCTTCAGAGTATCTTCAATCCATCTCTATTGTCTTCTGCCTATTTGTTGAGTAATAGGTTGCGTTGATTGGTCCGTCGCGAGAGTTTCTTTCAATCCAGCCACCTGAATTTCAATATTGAAGCCAGTGAAGGCATTTTCTTTGTGACGAAACTCTGTTGGAAATGCTTTCTTTGACTGACATCAGAACCATGTCTGTGAATCACATTATATGCATACATCATACTTAGGGATAATTCATTTCAATAAACATTATTATTATGCCATGTTTCATCAGTTTTATTTTGATTTCTATTCCATTAGGCTACCGTTGTTCGTCATACACCTACAAGTACAAATGCAAGTACATCGACCGATCATCCTACAACTATATTTATCCATAATAATAATAACAACAATAACAGCAACAACAATAGCAATAATAATAATAATAGTAATAGTAATAATATTACAAATTGTACAATTAAAAAAGAAGCGGATACTTCCATTCAAGACGATCTGGACATATACAGTCCTCGGAAAGAGTATACTAAAAAATCTGTAGACTCTAGGGTAAGTATATTTTGATAATTTTGTCGTCAGTAATGATATTCCACACCCTATAATGTCTAGCCTCTTTTTAAAAATATGTATATAGACACTTATTGGTAAGTCGGTGAATGTTATATGCTAAAATATAGTTATTCACCCATAGAAAAACAAACCATTATTTTTAATATTCAACAAAATTTATGTTTACAGAATTTAACCTGGATTATATTACTATTGTCATCAGTACTCCTCCCTTGGGTTCCCGAGTGGGACATAGGGCTTCAACAGAATATTTTCATTTCATCCTGTTCCCTGCAGTCCTGGTTTTCCATAAGCTTTCATCTCTTCCTCACAGGATCTCCTCCATGTCACTCTTGGATACACACCCAACTCATCGTTACCCATTCAGGTTCCACTCAAGAACAAGCCTAGTGTGTAAAGTCACTCAGCATGTGTCCACTCCACCTCCATTCCATACTTATACTTATTGGGCGATAAGTTCTTGGTCAGTTCGTTCTCAGGACTCCTTGTTGCTTCATTGTCGAGATAACATAGCTGTTGATAAAAGTCTGCAACAGTCTTTTGGAAATGCTCTTCATAACTTACTATGCCACTAGACACTTTATCTATTTAATTATATGCTTCTTTAAATCACTAGACCTTTATTCTTCTCTTACGGGTCATAACCCCTTTCTTCTCGTTTGTCTTTGTTATTTATTTCTCCAAGTCTAATCTGGTTGAGGTTCTTAACATCAATGAAGAACTTAAAGTGGCATACATGCTTCGAAAGTAGTCACATTTGTTATCATCAAAATTTTGAACACTTTATTAATTTGCATTATTTTTACTTTATCTTCATGATTGTCAGCGAACTGAGCAGTGGTTAAATGATTTCAGTTAGGATAAAATAGTCACTCATTTTCCTATGATTTTTTCATGGCTTTGTAATTGATTACAACCCATGAAGAAGTGATTTCACTCGAATATGTCTCCGTAAATTATTACTGCGTTATAATTATTGTCAACATATTACTATTATTAGAATCACTAGAAGTTACAGTAAGTTGAGTTTAACCTTTTAATGCGACTTCTTTGAATTGATGGTAATTTAGGATCCTCCTTGTATAGTTTCTACCTTGGTTAGGCTTTTTATCGATAATTATTCGGAAAACTAACGATATATATTTGACAGAAGTATTTTATATCATTTCTTTTGTTCTGTTGTAATGCTTGCATTATCTGCTGTTATTGTTATTATTATTATTCCCTTGCGTTCCGAATGCAACAAAGGACTTCAGCAGAATATCACCAGTTTGTCTTGTTCTCTTTAGTCCCCTTCAGCTGGCCCCATGATTGCTCATAGACTTTTGTCTCCTCCTCACACCATCTCTGCCGTGACACTCTCGGAAGCTCACCTCGTCATTTTCCGATCGGGCCTAGAGCGCAGTATCACCCAACGTTCTCGTCAACCTGTGTCAGATCCATCTCTTCCACATATGTGTTTTCCAGAGTTTCCTGGCGCTAGTTGTTTCAGGCTATCTGATGTTGAGTATGGAGCGAAGGCATCTGTTGATTAAAATCTGCTGAAGGCTGTTAGAAATGCTTTTCTTGTGACATTGCATTGTCTACAATGCTGGAGGAGGTATTCGTCTACCTATCAGTAACTGTTTATTCTGTCACATATACTCAGCACTCCAAAACACCATCTTCAGAGAAAAGTAGCGTCAGTTAAAGTAGGATTAATGTAAAAACAAGTTTACAGGTGGTCAAGAATGATAAATGTATAAACTGTCTAACTGTTGTATTAACATAAATTTTTGATATAAGTGTAGCAGTAATTCGAAAAAGCTAAAGTGAAAGAAGATTTATGAATGAGAGAATAATTAGATAAAGATTAGTCAGAAGTTTCAGAATCTGCAATAATGGTTTTCAGCCATTCACTCCTGGCATTATACGAACACTAGCCAGATATGACTTGTGAAGTCTTTAGCTGTTGGCCTGAGGCGTGTAAGCAAGAGTAAGTTTTCTGTCCGGCATCCTTGACTACTCCCTCTGTCTCTCTGTCCCATACAGGAGTCATGTTTATCTATTCTGGCTTCACTATATTTCTGCTATCTTCCTCTGATGTATACTGTTGCATAGCGTTACACATCTTGCAGCTACTTCACTTCTAGGCGATATTCCGACTGAAATTTTTTTCCCCTGTGTTCAGTATTCTAATGTTTTGACCGTTAGAAGTTTCCTTTTCAACAGGTGTAGTTATGAATTGATATAGACTATTTGTAGTCAGCGTTCTAGCTGTTTGTAGGAATAATAATAACTTTATTCTAAACGGTGGTTAATATAATGTAGAGAATTTTCGGCAGAAATCACTGCACAATAGTTTCTTTTTGTCCAGGATATTCATGTAAAATAGTAACTGGCACAGCAGACATTGAGTGACACATTGTTGTCTGATCTGAAGCGCAAAACCAATCCCTTGTGATATTTCTTCTTTGCCTCCTTCGACAAATGTACAGTATTTGATTGAAAATATTCAATATTCCTATGTTAAAATTTAGCAAAACACATTTAAGTGAACAATATTGTCTGCAATTAGATCTCATCAGGCCTAACTCTAATATGCATAACTTTACAAATAAATATTGAAATGTAAACCAACCCGGAAGGCGGTAGATAACCGAGAACTCTTGCTCTGGTTTTATTGAGTGTCCAGTATCTACCATGTGGGCTAAGACCGCACTATTTCTGCCCTTATTGATGATTTATTAAGTCTTTAACAATTTGAAATAGCCTTGGATCAGTAGGCTACCGTGTTAATATTAATGGGTGAAGATTTAAGGTAAAATGAAAACGTGGATCGCGATAAGATTAGTTATTCAGAGCTCTGCTGGCTGAGCTACATAACTCAACTGCTAGCGAGGTCATCATTTTGACTAAAGTCGTCAGGAGAATGAATGTTACGTAACTGTCCATCTACTACTTTACTAGCCGCCCAACCAGGTTTCTTCTGGTCAGTTGTCAATCAGTCAGTCACTTTGTTACATTTCAAGGGACACAAAAGGTTTCAAGCTATGAAGTTTCAGTGGTGTTTGTCTTGTTTTCACAGTGTGAGTTTGCTAGACTCACTCACGACCGACTTTCTCTCTTTCCCAGGCTTAACTATCCATCCTCTAAGCGAGGTTTAGGAGTGCATCGGTCGGGAAGTGGACCCCTCACCATGTGATTGGCTGGAGAGCACTCCTACCCTTAAACTACCCATACACTGGTCAATTCTGATCCTACTGTGAATTAGTAATTTGTTAAATTCTTCAGATCTTTACCAATCGTATGTCTTTCAAAGGATACACAAAGTAAATGAATGCATAATTGCTTTCTGTCAAATAATAATTGATGGTGACACTATCTGAGAGAGTATTGAGTGGGTAGATTGTTAATGATTTAGTAGATAATAAGTGAGGGTGAAATGATAGGACTGATTTGTGTTACCAGGGTGCAGTGTTGTTGTTGATTTAGAGTATGCGGATGATACTATCCTTCTCCTAGGTGAAGGCTGTGATAAAATGCAGAGTGTTCTGACACACCTTGAACAGAAATCTTCGGATGTTTAACATACGATTCGCTTCTCCTGTCAAATGTAATATGATACTGCAGAACTGGACTGCATTGACTCTCAGCTTAAAGAGAAACGGAATAGAGTGGTAGAGCGTGTTGACTACTTGACTTATTTAGGAAGCTATATCAATCCCAATAAACTGATTGATGCTAAAATCTCGGCATGAATACAAAAATTCATGTGGTATTTGCCAACTTACGTCATCTCTGGAGTAGACGTGATATCCGGCTAGTTATCAATCAAGGGACGTGTGTACTGAGCAGAAGTTCGCTGTGTCCTCTTTTATGGCCGTGCAACATGGCCATTTAGAGTGGAAGACATGAAAGTGCTAGCTGTCTTTGATGACAGATGTTTGCGTTCTATCTCCCATGTTAGGCAGTTTAATAGAGTCAGTAATATTCTGCCTGAGTGTACAATGTTAGGCATGAAGGGGGGGCACATAAATCGATAAGGTTGCGATATTACATTGATTAAGATGGCTAGGACACGTGGTGTGCATTCCGAGCCATTACCTTCCTCGGTGAAAAGTATTAGCTGACTTCGGGTTAGGTTGGAAAAGAGGTAGGGATGGCTAAACCAAAGCCTGGAATCAGTCCAGGAAATCTTAGACAGTTAGTTTCACTCAGACACGTAGGGAGGTGTAGACTGTCTGGTTGGGGTCCTCGGGATGGTAAAAACCAATGGAATTCTAGTGAGAATTCATGACCAGCTGGGTTCATCCGGTCGGGAATGAGAATGAGTACTCATCGATGACATTGGTTGGAGCCAGTGGCACTAAAAGATAGAATCCATGGACCATTGGATCGAGTTCCAGTGTGGTTGAATAGTCTATGAGCTTTCCTTGTAACTGAAAGGTCCTGAACTCGAACCCCTGTGGTAAGTGCATACGGGTGAAAAGTCCCAAATTAGAACGAAACCACTGGCTGTCTAGTACTTCCTGGTTGTTGTCAATGGTCCTCTAAGTGATTTCAATCCCGCGGTCAAACTTGAAACGAATCAAATCGCCACAATCTAATTCTGGAAAATAAGCAATTTTATTCAAAATGTGCTTACACAGTCTCTGAATTACTTTTTAACAAATAAAAGAATAAGTTAACATTAAATTAAACCTTATAAGTTAGTTCAGTGAATCTGCGAGCGCATAACCTAATTATTGATATCTTTCATCTTGCATATATGATACCCTAGTAACTTTGTTATTATTATTATTATTTGTGTTTAAGCAGTGTACAGTACACGTGATTCACTCACTCTTGCACACAGCAAAGCAAATAACATTTTCTTGAATATTACTCCAATCTAGGTTAATGAACTATTAATTCATTTTAAGCATATACATTATGCAATAAAGTGATTTTTTTTTACAAAAAATGAACACATACTACTATATTTATCAGTACAGACT